GTCAGACCAAGTCACTGTATAGAATTTGGTGTTTCTGGGTCCGCTGTTTCTAGAGGCCCCTCAGCAGGGTACTGAATCCTGCTCCTAGTACTCTTGTCTGGATGCATCTTCCACAGCATTAGTTATCACTTCCAGTGCCAGCATGACACAGAGGGACATGGCTAGAGTGCAGATGGGTCCCTGGAGCTCCAGGTAGACATCCAGGACTACCAGAGCCGGCTCCTCACCGTGGGGTGACCTTCAGCAGGATCTAACACAATGTGATATTAACTGCTCCTGCTTTGGAGGTGTATGCTCAGGCTAGAAACCAAAGTTATCTCTGGGACTACTCGCCTTGAGACCCAAAAAGGGCACCTACCGAGTAGGGCATGGTCTCAGCTGCAGGTGGAGGCTAAGGTTGAAGAGTGTCTCAGGCTGCTCATGCTCCTCTGAGGAGTGACTTTAATACAAATGTACTTACTGTACCTCCTTGGTGAACAAAGTGGCAAATTGGGGATACATAAGGATTTTATTTGCCTCTATAGGCCCCTGGGTCCTAACTGCTGGGTATACCCCTGTCCCTGTTCTGGCCTCTCATGAGTGATAGGAGATGGGCCCCTCATCTGTGCTTCTCACTATGATTCTACCCATTACCTCTCTCGTTTAGTCCTGGTACATCTGCTTTCCATGCTGACTCTGCCATGTCCACCACTGTTCCTACACTACTGTCCACCTTAACTCAGTTCCACTGTCTTTAAACACAGGGTTCCCTTACGACCCTTTCTGCTTCTCAAAGGCTCCTGCCTATGGCCCCTCTCTTTGTACTCCTGCCCATCTGTGCCTTGCCTTTGTTCAGGCTGGTGTCCTCCCAAGAATCTTCATTTGCTTTGCTCTAACCCCCGCTTATTTCTCCAAGAAGCCTCTTTAGGTACCTGCCTGACACCCAGCCAGTTTCAAGGGTCCAGGGACCACCTTGCTTCCTGAAAATCCCCACAGATTGGCAAAGTGTCCAGGTGATCGATGGACACAGTGTCCACTCCAGCCCTGGCACCAGAGACCAATAGAGAATGGTGATGAAAGCTTGACCTAGGAGTCCCTGTCTGCCTAGCCCAGGGCTATATTATCCTCTGAAAACACAAACTGGTGGAGCCCACCATATGCCATGGCAAGGTACAGAGAGGAGCCTGCCCCATTGAAGGTAGTTCCAGATGGAGGCTGGACTCTTAGCTGCTGACAAGTTTGCACAAATATGCTTCTTAAAGAATGCTGTTGGCTTTGGAGGCAGGTGTACTTGGTACTACGTGCTTGGTACTGCAGAGAGGCTGCAATGTGGTTTGATTTGGGTTCTGCAGCTTAGTAGCTGGAGAATGGCTGGAGGACAGCCTAGCCGGATGCACTTGCACTGAGCTTAGAGCTGTGTTGCTCAGATTCCTTTGTTGATAGAAAGTTTTTAAAAAATCTCTTTCTGTGTTTTTACAAAGTGTACCCTAAGCACCATTATCAAAATTATCAACAAAACTTGCAAGCATGCTTAAAACCTCCTTAAGTCACCAAAGCAGATTCTAAAGTGTCCAGAGGCCATGTGAAGGTTACCCTGGGCCTGAGAAGCCACCTCCTTCTGGGATAGCTGTAACCTGGATAGCTTATCCAGTCCCTATAAGGAGACAGTGTGGGAAGGGCCTTGTGTGGAGTAGAGTCTGATTATTCTGAGGTTGGAGGCCAGCTGAGGGTGGCTGTCACTGTCTAGGCTCAGGTATCCCTGTATGTCAAAAAGCACAGGTAAGGACCAGTGAGATGACTCAGTGAGTAAGGGTGCTTGGCCACTGAGGCTGATGACCTGATTTCCATCCCAGGGACAGAAATGGTAGAAGAATAGAACTGATTCCCACAAGTTGTTCTGTGGTCTCCACATATGTGTGGTGACATACACATACCCACTCACATGTCTACGTGCACAAGTAAATAAATGTCATTGTTACTATTGTTGTTGTTGCAGGGAGAGGCAGAGGCAGGCAGATCTCTGTGAGTTCAAGGTCAGGCCTGGTCTATGTAGTGAGTTCCAGGACAGCCAAAGCTATGTAATAGACCCACCTCACTAGATAGATAGATAGATAGATAGATAGATAGATAGATAGATAGATAGATAGATAGACAGACAGACAGACAGACAGGGAGGGATGGGGGAGGGGGAGGGGGAGGGAGGGAAAGGAAAGGAAAGAAAGAAAGAAAGAAAGAAAGAAAGAAAGAAAGAAAGAAAGAAAGAAAGAAAGAGAGAAAATGAGATGGTAGATTTTTTAAAGGAAAGCACAGGTGATTTTTGCATTTTCTAAACAGGCTAACCATTACATCTTTGAAAGACTTGGTCTGCTGTTAGGACCAACAGACTATTTGCCTTTAATAGAGTTTTGATCTCTGTGAGGAGTGTTTTTGACAGCTGAGTCGAGTGGAAATGGACAGATTTAGTCCCTGGGATGAGTTGACCAATGCCTGCACTCACATCAAGGCATCTGATTACTGGGTGCCTTTGTGCAAATCTAATGAGCTGTAAAAATTGTGTGGTTTGATAGCACAGAAAACAGCTGTCTTCCACTGTCATTAGTGTCCTGTGCTTGGGGATGCCAGGCTAGGCATCATGCTTTGGTAGCTGTCGAAGCAAGAAACCAGGAATGGCAGGTGACCATCCTTGGCGCATGGTGATCCCAGCATATTCTAGGAGACAAAACAGTCCTTTGAGAGCTAACCCACCCCTTCCAGGGCCATGTGATGCAGCCATTGGTGGTAAAAATGGATCTTGATGGCTTTTTAAAAAATAGCATTTGGGGTATTTCTTCTCCTTTCAATAGAGTAAAATCCCTTCCTTAGGTTGAGCCGGAAAGGCTGGGCCTGGCAGCTTTCTGCATGAGTGGTCACGACTTCCCCGATTTGAAAGGCCAAGAGAAGGCTGCTTTGCTTGCTCAGTTCTGATGGAGCCTTTACAACCTGTGAATGGGGAGGTTCCATGGGAAGGGATGTGGGAGAAAGAGGCGGGGTGGCTGGCCCTTGCACAGCTCTGGGGGACCTTCAGATGTTGATCCTTCGGGAGCTGCCAGCTTGGTGAGATAAAGCAGGGTTTTAATATTTGAGGGTAGAAGCCTTCAAGGAGACACAACTATGAATTTCCTGAACCGTCCTGCAGTGGCCACAATGGCCGTCTGCCTGCCTGCCCCCACCCAGAGCCTTCTCCCATTCACAGAAAGCAGCTTAAGCCACTTAAGCGCATTAGCATCAAGATGGGCCAGGACCTCCAGGGGATGCAGGGGGCTGGGTGGCCTTGATGCCCCCGGTTGTTTGGGTACTTGTCCTAATCCTCCACAGTTCCAAGGCAGCCAGACTGATTTGTGACACAGAGTCCAAAAGCTACTTTGGGGGCTTGGCTGGGTTAGGGGATCTGTGCCCTGAATGTCAATGGCCTGGCCTGGAGTGTGTTTTGGGAGTGGCAGGTTTGGGCTGAAATGCTGGCTCTACTCACCCCTTATCCTCATCCATCCTTTAGGATGGGTCCTGGGTTGATACAGCTGCCTAGAAGTGCCTAGGTTTGTGCCCATTGGGTGTCTGACACCTCAGTTGGCCACAAGCAGGAATGTAGCTGCAGAGCCTCAAGCTTAAGCAGTTCTCCTGGGTCCATACAGCACCCCCCGCCATGGGATTCTGCAATACAGAGACCTTAAAACGTCAGCTACTTCCAGTAAACTGGCCTCTTCTCAAGTAAACTCACTCTCTTTGTTTAAAAACTGTTACACATACATATATACATACACATACACATACACATACACATACACATACACATACACATACACATACACACACACACACACACACACACACACACACATACACATACACATACACATACACATACACATACACATACACATACACATAACCCAGTTGCAGACTGTCAGTAGCCCCAAACAGCTCCTATAATCCCAGCTCATGTGCTAAGTTTCTTGCTTCCTGGTTGATTTGTTTTGTGTAACTGACCTGTTGGTCGAGAAGGTAGCCATTCCCTTCATCTTCTCCATCAAAGCAGGACAGTTACTTAAAACCTTCATTTGTCCAAGAGGTGTTTTGCCATTGTCTCTGGGAGTCTCGCAGTGTATGTATTTGGGCAGGGAGGGTGGGGGGAGTGATGGGAGGGGGCTGTTGCTCCCAGTGGCCCCCTGTGCCTGGTGAGATGGAGAGTGGTGCAGTTCCTAACTTTGTTCTGCCTTTGGGGAGTGACCTTATTGACCTCTTCATGTGTATATTGAGAGTAATTCAAACAGGCATGAACTTAATTATCAATAAATGCCCTGGCTGGTTGCTTTTGGTCCAGGACCACCAAAGACAGCTCAGCCAAGTGTGCAACAAGAAAGTTGGTGGTTGTTCCATACCCACCCTTTTGGTGGAATAGGCTGGCTTAGCATCTGCAGACTCGTCAGGCTACTTGTCCCTCTTATGTCCTTGTCACACCCTGCCCTCAGTTCTTCTGACTCCTATCCAGAGCCCAGGATTTATATTCTGACCTATTAACCATATATCTCTGGTCCTTCAGGGCTTAGTGCCCCATGCTATGACCCATACTGCAGCTTGACATGCCCCGTAGGGTATGTGGAGGCTCAGGCCCGCCAGCAACAGCAAGGAGCCAGCCCCCTTGAAGGGCTAAACTTGCTGCCCGATATGGGCATTGCTAACCAAGCCTCACTTCTTGTGGAAGCATGAGCATATTCCATCTGTGTTGTACTATCAGCTACAACCAGTCAGGACTTTGTATAGCCTGGTGTTTTGTGTTGGGGTTGGGGTGGGGGCTTCTGAGGAATAACTTACAAGGACTGTCAGGTAGACTCTCAGAATCCTTGTCTTAAGCAACACTTGACACTTGACAATCCCTGTCCTCTCCCATTGGAGACATTGGGAAACCATTGGTTATGGCCTTTGGGTGATGCCAACTGGGGAACTGGGTGAATAGACCGGGACTGAGCACCTTTGTCTCCTTGCAGACACTCTGCACAAAGGCCACGATGCAGACAGTCCGGGCTGCTGATACCAATGAAGTTGTAAAGTTGATATTTCGGGAGTCAGACAATGACCGGAAGGTAAGTGGCTCATGACTAAGGGAAGCCACCAACCACACCCAGCCTGAGGAGTGGGAGTTATGCAGGGGCACTGAGGCACCTCTGACCCTGCAGGTCGTGCTCCAGTTGGAAAAGAAGCTCTTTGACTACTTCAACCAGGATGTCTTCCGGGACAACAACGGAACTGCGGTGAGTTGTTTTAAGGCGTTTGTGTGATCACTCTGGCTCCATCCCCTGAGACACTCCTGGCCCTGGAGTATCACCAGCACCTCTACACATGTTGGGACTGCCGCCACCCAGAGTTCAGCTTCTAAGCCCAGGCTCCAGAGTGACTTGGTAGGGGTGACTTGTAGAGCTGGGGCTAGGTCAAGCTGGGTTAGGCTGCCAGGATTAGCAGGGGTCAGCGGGCAGCACAGTGTTCCTGTGACCCATGAGCACTGTAATCTCCTGAATGACAGCAGTAACATCCTGCCTGCTGCCGTGAAAGCTAGGGAGCCCTTGGCCTCGGGGATGCAGCAGGGGCTTGGAACCTCATTTTGAATAGGGAAAAGCCACGCACATGTGGTGGTGGGAGTAAGCTCCTCATGTCCTTGTGGGCTTGTATGTTCAAGGCATGTGCATGTGTGTACCTGAATACATATTCACATGTCCACGTGCATTGTGTTAGCTATGTGTATACACATGTACACAACTACATTTGTGTTCCTTGTGTGTGAATGCCTTTATCATACATGTACAACTATGCTGTATATGAGCATATGCATGTAAATTGAAGTATATATTGAGAATGTACCACTCAAACCATCCAGTAGGGCTGCCAGGAAAGCATCCCTAGTCATGGGCATGTGCACTGACCTAAGCCACATGCAGTCCAGCACTGCAAGGCGCCTGTGTGTAACTGCTGTTAGTTAATTAATTAATTTGTTGGGCAGGTAGACAGGTACATGCCATATGCCATGGTATGCATGTGGAGTCCAGAGAATGGCTTTCAGGAATAGGTTTACTCGTTCTACCAGGACTGAACTCAGGCTGCCAGACTTGGACACCAAGTGCTTTTACTCTGAATCACCGAGTGGGCCCATATATCTTTAATGCAGTATAACTTTGTCCTATTCACTGGATACCTGTTAGGTATAGGTGTCTATGTTCTGGTAAGTATGGTGCTATGCTGGGGAGTAGGCTCTGTATTTTAACAGCCGACTCCTAAGATTCCTAAAGTTGTCCATAACCAGTTATGGACTCCACTTGAGTCCATAAGAGATGAGCCTTCTTGTCCTGAGGACCACACCCTTAGTCATGGTCCAAGAGTATGAGCCTGTGCAGTTGCTGGGTGCAGATCCAGGTACTGCAAGTCAAGTACTGTTGCATGTGCGCACACATTTACTCCCTCTGGCTTGCCTTGAGCTAGCTGGATGCCTGCTTCCCCTCGCAAGGCATGCAGGGATAGATGCATTGTACTTAGAATGGAGCCGGGCACATCCCTCAGACACTTCACAACCACCAGGGTAGGTCTGTCTCCTGAACCCGGCAGGCCCAGGTACAAGAACCCTAGGAATCTTGGGAGCTGGCTGTTGAATACAGTGGTCACAGTGTAGTTTAGGATTGTGCACAGAGATTATCATGACACAAGTTCATCCCCCACCCCAGCATAGTTCCACATTTATGAGAACATAGTGATGACATGCTCAGGCCTCCATGCTTGTTGCCTCTCTTAAGAAGTTACACTTGCCTCTTGCTACTCATCCAGCTCAGGGTCCAGCTCCTTCTGTGACTGCCATACCCTCCTATTAGTCATGCCCAGCCATGACTCATGAAGCCTGACTCCATCGCCACTTCTGTGGCAGGCCTGATCCACCAGCCTTAGGGCTGATTACTGACCTCATCCCTTCATCATGCCCTGTTGACCTTGCAAGTATCCCTAGCTCTACTGCTGCTTGTCTGTAGGAGAGCTTCATCCAGTTTCTCCCCATTGTATCCTGCTGCTGCCTCTGATGGATTCCTTCTCCTTGTCTTTGTCTGTTTCCGTGCCCTCTGGTCACTTTCTGCAGGCTCAATTATTCAATGACTATGGCTACTGGTGGTTCCTGTTAGAGGGGCTTCCCTCGGACAATGGTTGTGTTATCCTGCCAGCCATCTGCAAGAAGAAGGCTACTTTCCAGCTCACTTCAAAAGAGCAGAACAAATTGGGTGTGGTGGCACTTTAATCCCAACACTCGGGAGGCAGAGAGTAGAATTTGATGAGATCAAGGCCAGACGAAACTATATAGTGTGATACAGTTTCAGGAAAGAAAAGGAAAAAAAGAGTAGAGCAGGAACCCACATAAACCTGAGTACTTAGGGGATGTACACTGACCTTTGCTGCTTGGTGTCCAAGCTTAGAGAAGGCTGGGAAAGGGTACCATGGAGTCCCCATCAGAGCTGCCCCTTTAGAGTCAGAGGAGTAAGGTTACTTGGGACTTTGCGCAAGGCAAGAAGCAAGTGAGGCCCCCACAAGTGGAAGATGCAAGAGACCACCAAGGACAAAGAACATTTTAGAAGAAGCAGAGGGACAGATAAGGGGCCTCCAGCAGTTAAGGAGAAAACATAGTTTGACCTTGGGCACACTGGGAAGGGGAAGGAGAAAATGTGTCCTAGAAACTTTCAGGGTTATGCCAGTGGGACCTGAAGGCTCTGTATGGCTGTCTTAGCATCTAGACAGAATGTCCTGTGCCACTGGAACAGCCAGCCTTGTCCTTCTCTGAAAGATAATCTGCATTCAGCACACACCATTTGGCCTTTCTTTAAGGTGAAATGTAAGTGGTTACTCCTGTAATTCCATTACTGGAGAGCTGTAGGCAGGAGGGAATTCAAAGTCATCCTCAGCTGCATAGAGCTTGAAGCCAGCCTGGGCTACGTAGATTGTACCACAAAGAAACAGAAAAAAAGGAAGGTGGGGGCTAGGGAGATTGTTTAATGAGTGAAGTATTTATCATGCAAACAAATATGAGGACCTAAGTTCAGATACCCAGTGTCCTTGTTTTTTGTTTGTTTGGTTTTTTAAAGCCAGGTGTGGCAGTGTGAATCTTTTATGTCAGCATTGAGAAGGCAGAAAGGAAGCCTGTGTGTGGCACATGCCTTTAATCCCAGCACTCAGGGAAGCAGAGGCAGGGATATCTCTGTGAGTTTGAGGTCAGCCTGGTCTACAAAGAAGTCTAGGACAGCCAAGGCCACACAGAGCAACCCTATCATGAAAAACAGAGAGAGAGAGACAGAGAGAGATAGAGATAGAGAGAGAGAGAGAGAGAGAGAGAGAGAGAGAGAGAGAAAGAGAGAAGGCAGACAGGTTGGGACTTGTTGGCCAGCAAGTCTAGCTGAGTCAGTGAACTCTAGGTCTCAAAATAAGGTGGAGAATCAAGAAGAAACTTATGTTGAGAATGTGCACAAACATCCCAACACACACATATATGAACATGCACATACAAAGATTTTTTTTTAAAGAAGAGGAAAAGAATAAGGAGAAGGAAGACTTGCACTAGGCATGTACAGATGTACAGACACAGTATATAGGTCTATGACCGCAGACTTGGGAAGCCGAGACAGGAAGACTTGAGACAGAAAGTTTGAGACCATTGTGGGCCATATAGTAAGAAAGGTCGTCCTATTAAAAAAAAAAAAGAAAGTTTGAGCATTCAGGAAATGTTTCTAGTATAAAAGACTACAGCTTTGAAGTAGGAGGCATTTCCACATGGCGGTTTTCTTGGGACTCACGCCCACCTGCCATGTCCGCTTATGCAGGAAGTTTGTCAGGTGCCTGTCGCTCGAGCGACCTATTCTTCCACAGGCTGCCGCTCAGTGCCTGAGACATACACTCAGAAATGTCCCAGTCATGCTGCTGATGCCCGGCCTCTGCCCAGGCCACGGATATTCAGAGGTATCAGCCACCATCATTCAAGCCAGACTCTAGGCATTGAGTCCCCTCAGCCTAATGAGCGTTGGAGATAGCTCATCCTCGTGGCCTGGTTGAACACGCTGTGCCACAAGCACTACAAACAAACTACCGTCTGCAGGATGGATGTGCCCGCACCCGACTCAGCCCCCAAAATCCATCGCATCCTTCATCAGCCACCGGTCTTGTACTCGTCTGACAGAAATTTAATTCAAGCTGGCTCCTGAAAATAATTATTGTATTTTAAGAGTAGTAATCATTGGCCGGGACATGATTGAATGTGTCCATGCGTATTGACTTTTTCTATGATTTATAGCTTTGTTTAGTCGATATTCCCATCGAAATTGTATAATTAATTATAAGTGTGGCTGTCAGGGCTGCAGGATGGAGTGCCCTGGTGAGGATTTGGAGAGATTAAATTTTCCTTGGCTGTCCCAGGGCAGGGCTTGGGAATTTTCTAGGTGCTTGGCCTGTTGGATAGAGATGTTTTCTGTGTGTTTAGCAACCGCCTGGGCTCCGGGTGCATTGATTTTCCAAGCCCTTTTTTCTTTATCAGCGCGGTGTCCACGCAGCAACAGTGGAATTTGTGCAGCTGGGACGGCTCCTGACAGATGCATGAGGCCAGCAGCTGCTTTATCATTGTCCACACACATCGGTGCTGCTTTTCACTTTGTAATCAAGAGGAGCGTTTAAGATACATGTGAAATTGGTTATCATGTTTGTGAAAAATCTCAAAGAGATACAAATTATCAATTCACCAGCAGTGTGGTGCAATTTCCAATCAGGAAGCCCTCCCAGTTGATGTTCTGTGCGGATGGCAGCAGGAGCTTTAATCCCCATCATCTGGTTGGTGTGGTAAGCCTGGAGCTTCAGGCTTTCTGCAGGCCAGTCACACAGGATCAGGATTTCACCGTCCTGTCAGAGCTGCTTGAGCAGGGAACCTGTGGGCCCTGCTCACACAGCAGAAGCAGAGTGACTGTGTGATCCAAGAGTGTGTACATCTGAGGTCCAGAACATGTTTCTTGATAGTCAGTACCAGCTAGCAGGAGGATGGAGGGCAGGGTCCAAGTGTGTTTCCTCCAGCATGAGTGTGGGGACATGTTTTAGGGTATGTGGAAGTAATGGCTGACATATGTGCTGGGACCCTAAATAATGACCAAAGACTTAGGAGTTCTTCACCTGCCCTTCCTGAGCTCCCTTACCATCTAAGCAGTTTTAAATTCCAAAGTCAGTATTTTCTCCTTTAAGCATTACAGAACTGAGGAAGGGCACTCTTAGAATAAAGGCCATTGTGTGACAGTGCCCTCAGTACCTCGGTGGTAGGTACGTCAGGTCTAATAGCCCAGAAAGACCAACTCTCTACCAGCTGCTGAACCCCTAAACACACACACACACACACACACACACACACACACACACACACACACACA